TAATATGGTCGAAGCCTTCATCAGCTGGATACTTTCAAACTTATTTGTGTGAACATTACACAACATTTTTTAAAAGCACTGAAAAAAAAACTCCATTTTGTAGTATTTGCATTAATACTAGACTGCCTAATAAACTATTACAATTGAAAACACGAAATAAAAACAAATAATTCTATGAAAAATAAAGCATGATGCATAACTCAATACTGGTGGTTCGCGTCTCCCTAGATTTTATCTAGTTGCAGGGGAGTATATATTCCTTAGAAATCATGGAATTAGAATTAAAATATCGCAAAATCCAAAATTTCGGACAATCTTCCCTTTAAAAATGTATTAAATTTTTTTTGAAATACATCTAATATCTATCCTTTCAAATATTTTTATGCTTAGTTACTAGCGCTAATGTCAAACTCAATTGAAGAGCTTCACTCAATTAAACACAATTTAGAAAACAATTCTATGTATGAATGTTTGATGGAAGGGGGAGTGGGATGAGGTGGTGGTGGGGACGGGGGCCTTCGGTTTATATATTTTTTAATCTTACTGAAAAAATATTTTTCGAGGTTAGAAAGTTTCAATTTTACTAAATTTTTTTAGCTGGGATGACGTCACAAATGAGTTCGGATCAAATACAAAAAAATCCCTCGATGAGATGAAAAATAAATGAACTTGATTCAAACTGACTATAAAACAAATGAACAGAACATTATTTTTCTTTGGGTTTCTAACAATTAAGTTAGATTAAAAATATCTCCCGTTATTTAATGATGGTCATCGACAAAATTAAAATATGATTTATCTGTTTTACCCATTTATTCCTGATTATCATTTTCTTCTACCGTAAGAATAGAATGTTTTGAAACATCTCCACCAGAGTCGCTGCTTGCAATTTTTTCTCCAATAGGTGGCAGCACGCCCACCTTACTGTAGTTCTGAATCCCACCACTAGATGTAGCACTAGTTGTATCAATACTTTGCCTTGAACCTGGTGAATGATTTTCCAAAATACAATCCAAAGTAGACAAGGTAGATCTGATAAGTCAGAAGAATTAAAAATTTACTATAAAATAAACAACAGGATTTTAAATGCAGTCAACCGTTTTACAAGTTATTTTCCAAAATAAAAGTGTAATTTTTTAAGATTTACTAATTAAGTTTTTGACTTTCCTTAAAGCGTGTCTCTCTCTTTTCAGGAATAGTGATGACATTAGTCCAAGATAGCACATCACAACGATCAATATCAATCTAAACAAGAACTTTGAACTATAATGAGTTGTGATGATTGATTGATTGATTAAGGATGTTATCATGAATAAATAACCGATTTTTTTGCGTTTCGTCCATTGATTGAGTTTTTGGTTGATGAATTGTTTTTTATTATTGGTTTGTTGATTGATTGATTCTTTAATTACTTGATTGATCATCTTGAGTTTTGTTCATTGATTGATTATTTGGTTGATGGATTGGTTTTTATTATCAGTTGGTTGATTGATTGATTATTTAATTACTTGATTGATCATTTTGCGTTTAGTTGATTGACTGATTCTTTGGTTGATGGATTGTTTTTTTTAATCAAATTGGTTAGTTGGTGGATTGATTCTTTACTTATTTGATTGATTGATATTTTTCTGCGTTTGGTTGATTGATTGATTGATTCTTGGGTTGATGGATCGATTCTTTGATGCATAACTGATGTTTATTAATTCATATCGTTTTCTTTTATATATATACATATATATACATATATATACAGACGAATGTCTTTTTTTTATTATACATAGATTATTACAAAAAGTTTCCCGGGTTTTAAACTTATATGCTTTGTAAATTTGCTTTTCGTTTACTTTGCGAAGAATTGGAGGGAAATGTTTTTCGACGTTTTCTTTAAGGAGGGAGTCGGGGGACTTGACAATGAGAAGGGAGACTTGTTATAACTCTCAATTATGTTTTACCCAAAATTTGATTCCTTTTCTTCTAAAAATCAGTTATTCAGGCGTACCTAGCAGAGCATTTGTAGCAACTGTAGTGCCCATCCTTATCCATTCTATGAGGGAGGTATCAACAGCAGAACTCTATATTTGTAAAACACGATTAACTTAAGTGAAAACCTAAACTAGGGAGGGGGGTACAGGGACGCCACGAGCCTCGCAAAATAGTCTCCAAGCCTCTAGATTCGCAGATGAGTGCTTCCATGGCGCTACCCGGTGACATGGAAACTGAACAACACGGAAACGGGTCAAAAATATGAGGAGACGAACCAAAACTTTGTGGAAACCGATCAACACATTGAGATTTAAAAGTTTTTGAAAAAAGCCGAAAGTGATCAAAAATTCAAGAAAACGGTTAAAAAATTCGAGGAAACCGGTGAACAAAAATGAGGAAAACCGATCAATTTTAAGGTTTCTAAAAACAAACAGGAACGAATCACAAAATATCAGGAAACTGACCGACTAAAAGGGATTTTTTAAACATTTTGTAAAAAAGCGGAAACAGATTAAAAATATGAGGAAATGGACAAAAAATTGAGGAAACCGATCAGTAAATGAGGATTTTTAAAGATTTTGTAAAAAGCGGCAACGGATCAAAAATATTCGGAATCAGATAGAAAATATTGGGAATCCCCTTAAAAATATTGGGAAATCCCACGAAAATATTTCATTAAAATAAAGAGGAAATTAATAAAGTTAATTGATCAAAAAAAGAGTAAACTCTTTAAAAGCAGAATTCTGCTGGATTTCCGAAAAATTCAAAGAAATCGCGGAAATGCTTAAATAATGAGTAATTTGATTGGTTTCCGCTTTTTTATCTGTTTCAGTGCTGTTCGGTTTACATGTCACCGCTCTACTCCTATCCTTATATATAGAAGAAATGAATACATTTAGAAAAAGTATTTAATATTTTTAAAATTACGCAATGTTTTTTGGATATTCAAGAAAAAACTGAATAGCTTTTTAAGGACTAAACATTTTCTTTTATAAATGTTATTTATTACTTCTATGTTATCGATTCTAACGTTTATGGGTGGCGCCACTCGCCAACTAAATTTAAATACTCATCTGCAAACACCTCCCTCCTTAAACCCAAGTTGGTCTTCAAATAAAACCCGTGTTTGATTAATTGATAGCTATGACGGTGCAAATCTTAAAAAAAGGTTTGGACATAAAAAAAACCTGAGGCATCTTTATTCCTGTTTCACTCTCCAGAATTCTTCTGATCCCTTCCCTAAACATTTATTGAATACTATTACTAGACCCAATACCATTCTCTAAACTTACTTCTTTAAACCGTAATGATGCATCATCGTTCATACCTTTCATAACTTCTGACAAATAACTTTCCGACATATACTAGCAATATCATCCCTGCGATGCATATTTTTTTGTTGTATGCCTTTTACACTCACAAACACATCGCATCTATTTGTTTAAAGCCATGGGCTGACAATACCGAAATTCAGCCGATATTAAAACTGATCATAAAACTACTAAATAATCTTGAGTCTTTTATTTTTAACTAAATAGAATATCTAACTATTTGGATTTTGGAATTTCATAATTTTCTCTTTTTTTCCGTAGCTCATCCCTTAAGTTTCAGGGGTGAGCAATTTTCCAGGGGTCAGCGGCCACTCCATGACTCATCCCTATATCCGCCGATAGCAGCGGTGTTAGTTTTGAATAAAGTAAAAGTTCATATTCTGTTTCAGGAAGAAAGAAACAATGAATTGACAATCCACAGGTTACCCGTTCCGAATATATTAAATTTTGAAAGACAATTTGGCGCAATCTTTCCATTATCTTTACCTCGGTGCATCGGGATAGTTTGCTGGGTCTACTGAGAGTAGTTTCATTACTCTGATCTTATCCCCAGGACACAGAGCGTACACATCTAGAAATAGAATCTTGTTAAAGGGAATGCTCCTCAAAATAACAGCAACATTTTCGCAACTTTGCAGCAAATTTTTTAATGCACATTTTGTCGGGTCTATTTTTAATTTAATGGAAGCACATATTTTATTTTAATTAAGTCGTTTTGTTTTGTACAAAGTAAAGAGACCAACAAAATATAATTTATAAAATAAAATGCAAACGTAAACTCTGCTCAATTTTTGACATGATATTTTCTAATTTACAAAGAAAATAAATTTCATCTTTCGCAAAAAAATTGTATATAATCAACTATGGTGCAGATTCATAACTAATGAAATTTTGTGTTAACCTAACTTTTCATGGACACTCTTAAAAATAAAATTTTACTAAAAAAGGTAGCGCAAGGGTAATATTTTGTCAGGAAAAAGATTTTAAAAATGTGAATAGGAAAATAAAGAAGATGAATGAAAAATCTGCTACATTTCACACCATATAAAATAAAACTTATGACAGTTATTAGAAAATGTTGCTTTACCTGTAAATGTGCCTCCTCTATCAATCGCAAACCTAAATTTTGTCGACATTTTCTGAAATATAAACCATATATCATTATTCTATAAAATATTAACAAATCAACAACAAAAGAGGAAACAATGTTGAAATAACAATCAGTAATTATAACTATTTATATAAAGTTTGTAGTTACAATTTCTCAATGTAAATACAGTTAGAATTAAAGTAATTTTCCAACAGTTTAATGGAAAATATTACAAAAATGATTTTAACTGGCAGTTTTCTCCCCCTTTGCTTAAAAATATTTCTTCATCCCGTTCAGTGCTTAGGATACGGATCCGGATCCGTTGGATCCGCAAGATTTTGGCTTCCTGGATCCGGATCCGCAAAAATATGCAGATCCACGATCCGGATCCAAGGGGTAAAATATTAACCAAAAACTGCAAAAAAAAAAAAAATTTTTTACTCCTAAACCCCAATTCTGAACTTTTGAAAAAAGAGAGATTATAAAAATTTCCTCATTTCTGAATAAAAATAAAAACAAACGACAAACAAAAAATTTGAAAATTATTTTTTGTTTCAAAAATTCGGTACATCTTAAAGAAATGACCTGAATCCGGATCCATTTTTTTACCAGTCCGGATCCAGGATCCAGGATCCGGATCCGCATCAAAATTAAATGGATCCTAAGCACTGGTCCCCTTAAAGTGAAACATTTCCCAAAATTCTGTAATATAACACTTATTTATAAAAATGGGGGGGGGGGAGATAGAAACAGGAAGCGATAAAATTTTCTGTGCAGTAATGTACACACCTCAAATACATGAATTAATACTGGTGATCATAATTAAGGCACTTTTTCAAATAATAATATGGTCGAAGCCTTCATCAGCTGGATACTTTCAAACTTATTTGTGTGAACATTACACAACATTTTTTAAAAGCACTGAAAAAAAAACTCCATTTTGTAGTATTTGCATTAATACTAGACTGCCTAATAAACTATTACAATTGAAAACACGAAATAAAAACAAATAATTCTATGAAAAATAAAGCATGATGCATAACTCAATACTGGTGGTTCGCGTCTCCCTAGATTTTATCTAGTTGCAGGGGAGTATATATTCCTTAGAAATCATGGAATTAGAATTAAAATATCGCAAAATCCAAAATTTCGGACAATCTTCCCTTTAAAAATGTATTAAATTTTTTTTGAAATACATCTAATATCTATCCTTTCAAATATTTTTATGCTTAGTTACTAGCGCTAATGTCAAACTCAATTGAAGAGCTTCACTCAATTAAACACAATTTAGAAAACAATTCTATGTATGAATGTTTGATGGAAGGGGGAGTGGGATGAGGTGGTGGTGGGGACGGGGGCCTTCGGTTTATATATTTTTTAATCTTACTGAAAAAATATTTTTCGAGGTTAGAAAGTTTCAATTTTACTAAATTTTTTTAGCTGGGATGACGTCACAAATGAGTTCGGATCAAATACAAAAAAATCCCTCGATGAGATGAAAAATAAATGAACTTGATTCAAACTGACTATAAAACAAATGAACAGAACATTATTTTTCTTTGGGTTTCTAACAATTAAGTTAGATTAAAAATATCTCCCGTTATTTAATGATGGTCATCGACAAAATTAAAATATGATTTATCTGTTTTACCCATTTATTCCTGATTATCATTTTCTTCTACCGTAAGAATAGAATGTTTTGAAACATCTCCACCAGAGTCGCTGCTTGCAATTTTTTCTCCAATAGGTGGCAGCACGCCCACCTTACTGTAGTTCTGAATCCCACCACTAGATGTAGCACTAGTTGTATCAATACTTTGCCTTGAACCTGGTGAATGATTTTCCAAAATACAATCCAAAGTAGACAAGGTAGATCTGATAAGTCAGAAGAATTAAAAATTTACTATAAAATAAACAACAGGATTTTAAATGCAGTCAACCGTTTTACAAGTTATTTTCCAAAATAAAAGTGTAATTTTTTAAGATTTACTAATTAAGTTTTTGACTTTCCTTAAAGCGTGTCTCTCTCTTTTCAGGAATAGTGATGACATTAGTCCAAGATAGCACATCACAACGATCAATATCAATCTAAACAAGAACTTTGAACTATAATGAGTTGTGATGATTGATTGATTGATTAAGGATGTTATCATGAATAAATAACCGATTTTTTTGCGTTTCGTCCATTGATTGAGTTTTTGGTTGATGAATTGTTTTTTATTATTGGTTTGTTGATTGATTGATTCTTTAATTACTTGATTGATCATCTTGAGTTTTGTTCATTGATTGATTATTTGGTTGATGGATTGGTTTTTATTATCAGTTGGTTGATTGATTGATTATTTAATTACTTGATTGATCATTTTGCGTTTAGTTGATTGACTGATTCTTTGGTTGATGGATTGTTTTTTTTAATCAAATTGGTTAGTTGGTGGATTGATTCTTTACTTATTTGATTGATTGATATTTTTCTGCGTTTGGTTGATTGATTGATTGATTCTTGGGTTGATGGATCGATTCTTTGATGCATAACTGATGTTTATTAATTCATATCGTTTTCTTTCGTATTTTTTATCCATAAAAGAATTATATTTGAATATGTAAATTCTCAGCCCCCCCCCCCCACCCTACCCCCACAAACCTGACAAGAAAGAGGAAGATATCTACGAGGGTAGACCCCCCGGGGAACCGACTAACTGCCTCTGGGACCGGGACGAATGTTATGAAGAGAAGGAGGAGGCAGATCAGGAGAATACAGATATAAATACTTTTCATCACTGACGTGTTCCTGAAAACAATGATATTTGTAGAACTAATCTAGGTGAAGATTGCACACTGTGTCAGTGTGTACACCCATAAAACGCCCACTAACATTATGTACACTTTTTAACTTCTAAAAAACGCGTCTGATTCCCTAGAATCCGCCAAAAATTGTACTTCAGTCCACAAATAGTAAATATTTATAAAATCTGCCTAAGAGTGAGTTTTACATCTGCCACAAAATCTCCAGATTAACTATTATTCCTTGCCTTCACCTACAACCAACATTAAAAACGCTGTTAAGGGATTCTTGACTTCTGTTTTTAGTTTTTTTGGCTCAAATTAAGAATCTAAAAAGTTCAAAAAACCTAGAAAACCTTTTCTTTAACTTGTATTATCTTGATAAAGATTTTTAGTCATTTCAAATAAACTTTTACCTGATAGAATTGTCTAAAATACTCTTGGCATTCTCCACTACGTTTCTTTTAACATCTAATTAATATAATTTGTGATTTTTTTTTAAAGTTTGGATTTCTATTTTTTACGAAAAGTAAAACGTTTTTGGAACTTTTCTGTGAACCAAAACGGGTTCATGTAATAATAGATCAAAGAAGTTTGCAAGAACTATTAGCATTTTCCTTTCTTTCTTGGTGAAATTTCTGTTCTTGGAAGTTTTTAGTTTAGTTTTTAGGTCAGTAGCACATAATAGTATAATTGCAGTTCCATACCCCTATAAAAACCTACCTATTTCTTTGCAAGACTGCAACCGGATGAAATCACGGGTTGACATTGGTTTGGAATCTTTTCTCCTGAATTAAATGCACTGTAAGCGTATTTTTAAGTGACCCAAAATTCAAAAATAGGAATGCCGGATTCCCAGCGTTGTCTGATCAAGTATAAATTAGATAATTACTGTTTATGATTTTGAAAACAGATTATTTTCAATTATGGTTTCTCTAAAAAGTGGCTTTTAAAATTAGGAAAAGACAATATCTCCGCATTATATTGATCAGTTTGAGGTTTTAATGGTACTGTTGTGAAACACCAACCAATAAACCAAAACATTATCAATTGTGTTCAAGAGCTTTTTAATAAATAAAAAGTAATATTTTGATAACATTCACTGAATCCAGGACAGAATTGATAAAATCGACAGTTCAAAATCTGCATTTGTATCAAGATGGGACTGATCCATGACATCTTTTTATCACAAAAAGGACAAGTTTGAGAATAAGTAGTGCTTTTCATAAAAATATACGAAAAAAACTATTTTTTTTAAGAATCCTACCTGAGAAAAATTTTTGCAGCTACAGCTTCATGATCAGAGTAGGATAAATTTTTCCCGGGGATCCTGGAGTAAAAAATAAAATCTTATTTCAAATCTGATTTCCTCGCAAATTTGCTTGGGAGGTGGCTCATTTTTAGAAATAGATCCAGGGGGGTCTAGATTTTTAGAAATAGATCCAGGGGGGTCTAGATTTTTAGAAATAGATCCAGGGGGGTCTAGATTTTTAGAAATTGATCCAGGGGGTCTAGATTTTAAGAAATTGATCCAGGGGGGTCTAGATTTTTAGAAATTGATCCAGGGGGGTCTAGATTTTTAGAAATAGATCCAGGGGGGTCTAGATTTTTAGAAATTGATCCAGGGGGGTCTAGATTTTAGAAATAGATCCAGGGGGGTCTAGATTTTTAGAAATAGATCCAGGGGGGTCTAGATTTTTTGTTGTTGTAACACTATTTATGGTTCATTATAAAATTGGAATTCAGACTCAAAGTCTTAAAATTAACACTATAAAAACTTTCTATATCATTAATTTCTAAATCAAATATTATTAATTTCTAATTAACAAATCTATTTATTATTTATTATTATGATAAAAATAATAATAATAGTAAAAATAATAATTATATACCTGTCTGGTAATGGTAGAGAACAGGATATAGTTTCCGCGTGTATATTTGGTCCAGATTTGTACATTATGTAATCTATACGTTTACCATTCGGAGATTCTTTCAACGAAGATCTAAACAAATAAACATTTTATCTTTGTTGTTTCATGTTTTTATAAAATATGTCCTCCAATACAATATCTTTCAATATTGTTGTTTCATGTTTTTATAACTTCACTTCACAAATTTCAGTTCATAAAAATAAAGTTACAAATTCAGGGGTGTATATTTTCCTGTAAATAATTCCCCCCCCCTTTTATAAAAATCATTATTTTTCCCCGGAAGTTAGGTCAGGTTGAGCGTAGCCGAGTTTTTTTTAGTGCTTTATTTGCTAAATTCGGGAAAATAAACACATTTTTGGGTAAAAAGTCCAATTTTTTCCCCATCAGATCACCAAAAATCATGTCCCCACTGCCCAGGGGAGCGGGGGGGGGGTAATTCTTAAAAATATACATTTTACACCCTTAAATGTATTTCTTCCCTGAACTTAATAATCTAATGAGATAAAAAGCGGGGGAAAATAAATACCCTTGAATAGCAACCGTATCTATGTTTTCTTCAAAAGTTGAACAAATTCACGGAGAAAAAAAAATAATAACATTCCTTACACACCGGGGAAAACAATGATTATTTAAGGGTGTGGAAAGGGGTTGGTTGATTAGGATCCATTAATTTTTGTTGTGGATCCGGGTCCTGGATAACAAATATATCTGGATCCCGGTCATTATTATTTCCTCAAGATGTCCCTGCTTCTTTTGAACAAATGAAAAATTTTCTTGTTTTCCCTTATTTTTATGATGACACTTAATGAACTAGTTATATTTTTTTAGTTTTAAATAATCGCTCATCAGTGAACAGTTTGAGGTTTGAGCAAAGAAAAGAATCTTTTTTTTTGCAGGAAATGATTAGTATTTTGCCCCTTATATCCATATATTTTTGTGTGGATCCGGATCCAGGAAGCCAACAAATTTCTCCTTGAACGAACCTATGTGTATATGAGTTAGAAGGTGTTTCACTGGTTTCTCCTCCATCTACTCCATTAGCTTCAACCCAGGCATCACACAACGGGGTCACGTACCGTACTGTACAATGAAACATATAACGGGAAAAAGTCACATTTGTCATATCTTTTTACATGATTTTGCTATCACTTTTTTTTGGGTCACACTGTATTTGGTTACCTATTTGGTATGGAATATCCTTAGGTTCCGTATTGAAGTCTCCAGCGTATATCGTCAAGTCGGCGCTAGAATTAACAATTTGTTGAATTCGAATTCTCTACTCATTGAACATTGAAAAACATATTGGATTACTGTAAAATTTGAGGCTGTTGATTTTCAGATGGAATTTCAGCATAATTGTTATCTTCTCCTCTCTTTCTTTCAATGATAAACGTTAATAAAAAATATTACTAGAAATTCTTTCATAATATGCCCAAGGACCAGATTTGATGAATAGCAAGACATGGCTGAACCGCGTTAGACAAGGTTCAACCACTTCTCTTCACCTTGAACCGACTCAAAAGAGAAGTGCGGTTCAGCTACTTCTCGCTATTTCGTAATCTGGGCAAACTTTTTATAAAATATACAATCCTTAACGGCATTTCAAATTAAAAAGAGGGCAAATACAACATTCATTCCTTTGTAAAATATTAATAACTTTGGTTGATGCTTTATTTTAGTTGATGCTTTATTTTAGTTGATGCTTTACTTTAGTTGATGCTTCATTTTAGTTGATGCTTATTTTAGTTGATGCTTTATTTTAGCACCTAGATGAAGATAGTTTGATCCATTGTGCACTCTCGACTCCATGAACAACCCTATGACCCAAATAAACATCCTGAAATTAAAAGTGGATTATTAGAAACTTATTGGAACTAAAGAAGAACAATCTCTACCAAAACAAGTTTTACCTCCCAAAATAAAGATAGGGAAGATAAATTGGACCAAACAGGCAAGTTACCCCCTCCTCCCCCCCTTCATTAATACTCCCCAAAAATTCATTAATTTCCAAATTTAGTGAGAAAAAAAAAACCAAAAATATACGAAAACAAAAACCTTTCCTGGAAACGAAAAAAATTCGAGAGAAGAAAGGGGACTGATTTTTCGACAAAATATAAACCCGTGTTGTAGTTAATAATTGCGACTAAACATCCACAAAATCTTTTTTTATAAAAGTATTTCAACTTATCAACGCCGTTTAAAATAAACCAGTGTTTTTGTGATTTGTGTTGATTAAAATAAAAACACGTATCAAAGAACTCTTCAACGTCAAGTTTTTACAATCTTTTTAATTCATCTAGATCGTAAAAATCAAATTCCCCCCCCNCCCCATTAACCCTGCCCTTTCTACCTTTATAGGATTGTAGTTGTAAGTTGCGTGGTAATGAGATGTAAATATATGGATATTGAACCCCTAGATTTTACAAATCATCATTTTTATCTCAGCTTTTAATAAACAAAAAATAATCATTTGTTTACTAATATCAAAATGAAAAGAAGTGTAAATATCGTTAAGACCAAAATCGACTAATCAATGCCTGATATAACATTTGACAACCCCGTTATTCCTAACTTCTTTCATTTCTAACATTCCTCAAGCTAAAAATATTATTGAAAATCCACGAAATTTACAACAAAAAAGAAAACTGGTTTGCCGGGCCGATAAAATGTAAACTATTTGTCACGGAATGAATAAAGAAGAAACTTGCTATCCCGGGGATCATGAAATGTCAGGTAAAACAGTAGAAAATAAAATTATTTCAAAAATGATCAAGTTCCTTGAAATCAATTTGACCGAGGCCCAGACCCTTCCCACCAAACCAGTCTCCGTGCATCAGCTTGTGCGGATACCCGTTCAATCCAAAGTGATGAAACGCAACATCGTTGATTCGAACCTAAGCAAATATTAACTGATCAAAACAATTTTGTTTTGTGAACAATTCAATCTGATATTAGTCCAATCGATATAGCAATTGTATCTGTAGTTGTTATCAAACGTAACTTGTATACAGTACAAATATCCAAAAAAAAGAGGATTATGAAAGAAAATCATAAGTGTGCGATCGTGATTAAGGATATCTCATTCTAAAGTTTTCAGCTCTGGGTGCACACTGTACACCTAATACACACACAAAAAAGCAAGTTTCACATTATTTAGATTGAAGAAAAGAAAATAACTATTACATAAAAGGTATTTTTAACCCCGGTGAGCACAGGGAAGAACATTTTTTTAAATAAATAACGACTCAATACTCCTAAAAGTCGGCACTGTTTTCTAGCTTACAGTTGCATTCAAACAATGTTCTAGTTTCAAAAATGACAAATCCACGACAAAAACGAAAAATTATATTTCGAATATCGTCAAAATTTTTATAATATCTTCTAAAAAAACACATCTGAACAATTTTTGGACCTCTATCGGGTCACTTGAAGAGGGAGAGGGGGGGGGGGGTAATACCACTCTGGTTACCTTAGAGAAGATACATGTTCCAGTTCCAATAATTCCGCTGTCGAAATAGTAACTGTACGGTAGAACAGAAGCAACAAGTTTTCTGCAGTAACAGATATCAATACAATACAGTCCAAAAAAGATAATTTAAGCAATGATAAAAAAGTCAAATAATAGTTTTAATTATTTTGACGAAAAAATTGTGACTGAAAAATCTCACATTAATTCTCAGAAAAAAATATATAGACTTCACAGCAAAAGCTTTTATTTGCTGAAGAAAAAAAAAATTATATAAGAATAAAATGAAATTAATACAAATTGTTAAAACTTGCGAACTAGGTGTATAATGTACATCTGATATGATTGATTAATCCCTGATTGTGTAATAATTTTCATGCTTCCATACTTCCTGAAATATAAAAATATTCTCGTTTTCTTTAATTTTAATATTTCTTAAATTCAGTGATTGCTTTTCACTCTTTTCTTAAGTAAGACCCAGAGTCGTATTTAGGTGCCGGTGGGGGATCAGATCACCAAAAATCATGTCCCCACTGCCNAAAAGATTAAAGAAACATTAAGAGCCAAATATATGACGAGGAACAAGGTCATAATGCAAGGAAAGTTAATTTCAGGTTCGTATACTCTCTGCGTACATATTGAAACCAGTTCTCTCTGGGCGGAATTTGTAAAAAAGAATAGATGCATCTGTGTAGAACAGAGCCTTTAGTTCTTCAACACACGTCCTTCTGAATACCAATTATTATTTGTTCTAACCTTAGATATTCCCATACCGAGCCCCCAACAGTTAAGTGTTAAAATATTAATTTCTGTCTCCATGAACGCCATATTTGAACAGCTTTATTTCTTCTCTCAGCTCACTGTTACGTTTATGGCATAATTAGTCACAACACTCATTACAGAGATAGTGTTTTCATTTGTACCGATTTTGAATTTCACATTGAGGTTTTGTGTTGTCCAATACTGAGAACCAAATATCAGATTTCTATCCAATGAGATTGCGACATGTACTTAAAAAACCGGTTTTCGGGTAAATAATGTTGCGCATTTGCCGCGGAAGTATTTTAAAAGCTCGTCTTTGTTTATTCTAAAACTTTAATCGGTGCCATATCAAGGATGGATTCCCTCATTTGAACTACTGCCGTTTGAACTATTGATCATTTGAACTATTGTTCATTCTTACTACTGATAATGACATCATTTTCTGTAGTTCAAACACCACATTATTTATACTTATAGGGAGCCAGGTGCTGCGGCCCATGACCAATGATATCATTTATTGGGTAATCTTACATCGTCTACGCAACATCCCCCCTACTGAAGTTCCGACCCATTGACTTTCCGACCTACTGCAATATTGGACCTAAGCCAGCTGTTTCTTTTTGTATCATTTGAGGGTTAGGTTAGGTTAAGACCATTTCTGGGCCGAACGCCGCGGCTATAAGGACAGGCTAGGGGGCCGGCGCTGCGGCCACAAGTTCATATAGCAGCTGTAAAATCACGTGCTAGTAGGTCGGATGTGTAGTATAGCGGATTTGGCGTAGGCCAGAAGTGGAGTATAGCGGATTTGCGTATGGTAGAAAAATACACCACCCATAATTGGTCAACTCATATGGGTCATTTGAACTATGATTTTGCTCATATCAACTATTTTTTGCTCATTTGAGCCATGTTTTTTGCTCATTTGAGCTATTTGGCTCATTGGAACTATTTAATTGGCTCATTTGATTTTTTTTGCTCATTTGAACTATTTTTTTTGCTCATTTTAAATAATTTTTAGCTCATTTGAACATATTTGTTTACTCATTTGAACATATTTTTTTGCTCATTTGAACTATTTTTCGGCTCATTTGCTATACTGTTTTGCTCAATTAAATTATTTTTTTGCTCTTAACTATATATTTTTCGGCTCAATTGCTCTATTTTTTTATGTTCAAATGAGCAAAAAAATAGTTAAAATGAGCACAGAATGTTATCGTTTGAACTATTGTTTGTTTGAGCTACTATATACACGTGGTAAACGTGTGCAATTCCAATGACCAATAGTTCAAAAAGTCAATAGTTCTAATTCGGACTGAGGAAATTGGATGGAGAATATACAGAGGGAAGGATGGAGAGTATACAGAGGGAAGGGTGGATAAAGAGAGAAGGATGGATTGAGTATACAAAGGAAAGGATAGATAAAGAGAAAAGAATGGAGAATATACAGTGGGAATACGGATCTAGGGAGAAGGATAGATAGTATACAAGGGAAGGATGGCTCCAGGGAGAAGGATGGAGAGTATACAGGGAAAGGATGGAAAGTATACAGAGGGAGGACGAATCTAGGGAGAAGGATAGATAGTATACAGAGGGAAGAATGGCTTCATGGAGAAGTTTGGAGAGTATACAGAGGATTAGGAAAGGATGGAAAGTATGCAGAGGGAAGGACAGGGGCGGATACAGGATTTAAGTGAGGGGGCCGGGGGCAAGATTTTTTAGGAACAAAAAAATGAATAATTAGGAACAAAATTTTTTTTTTGACTTAAAAGACTCAAAAAGAGCCAAAATTGATGACTAAAGACTAAAAAACTAGATTTTTAAATTTTAGGAACAAAATTAAAGGATTAGAACAGGAATTTAGGAACAATTAAAAGATTATACAGGACTTAGGAACAAAATTAAAGGATTCGGACAGGGATTTAGGAACAATAAAAAGATTGTTCAGGAATTAGGAACAAAATTAAAGGATTCGGACAGGGATTTAGGAACAATAAAAAGATTGTTCAGGAATTAGGAACAAAAATAAAGGATTAGGACAGGAATAATATGACTCATTATTTAGAAAAATTCCTGAATCGCCCATGCTAAGACCATATACCTGAAGTAACACAACGTCGTAGCTTTGAGTAGAAATATATTTCCCGATATCTTCCATTCGCTCGTTCCGATCCTTAATTATTACTATTATATTATTTTTAAGATTTATAACATGAACAAAATATAAATAAACCAGGATTAGGGCGCTTCGCACCCATCTTCTATTTCAACTTTTAATTGTGGCTTTATCTCTGAGCATCTTCTCTTTATACGTACAGTTTAAAAAAAGTTTGCAGATTTCATAATATTTTTTCGCGCATTTTCAAAATTTAACAAAAATAAAAACTCAACACAAAGTTTTAAAATTTTGATCATTCATAAACCTTCCCTGGGGTCACGTGAGGTCCACACAAAATTTGGGTCCGATCGGTTCAGCCGTTTTGACGTTTATTGGATACAAACAAACAGACAAATAGACAGACAGACAAGCAAAATACTTGTATATCATTTTTGAATAGGTCAATTAAAACTACATGATAATGAATATAAACCAAAAATCATTGTGCTTCTACATATTTGTTCTACTTAAAATGTTTTAATTTCATGAATATGCGTTTACAAAGTTATCTAGTTACTAGTAATTTTTAAAAATACATTCTTTACACAAGGTCCGTCATCGGGAACGTCTTTATAAAAATCGGGTATATTCCTAGTAACAAAAATATAGGATTAGGACAGGGATTTAAGGTGGGTCGGACACAGGAACAGGAACAATAAAAGGAACATTAGCAATTTAAGAACAACAAAGAATTACTAGTTATACTTAAATGCATGAAAATTAGGAACAATATTACAATTTTGATAAATGAGTATTGATTAAGGAACATTACTAAATATAAACAATATTATAACTTAACTTACAAATTTCTAATTCTAAATTTATCGATAACAATAACATTTATCAAATTGGGAACATTTTGCCTCGAAATCTCAGGGGGGGGGGCTACGCCCCTCCCTGAATCTGTCAGGGGCCCTGGGGGCGAATGTCCTCCCGCTCCCCCCCTTGTATCCGCCCCTGGGGAAGGATGGATGTAGGGAGAAGGATGAGTATAAAAAGCCGGCAAAACACACTTTCAGAGACACCCATTAGTTTAACTGCCAGTTATTTTGATATACAGATATATTAATAAACAGATAGTTTGATATACAGCTAAGTTTGATGGACAGATAGTTAGATAAACAGATTGTTTGATAGACAGGTTGTTTGATAGACAGATTGTTTGATATACAGATTGTTTGATAGACAGATTGTTATGATAGAGAGATTGTTTGATAGATATTTTTGATAAACAGATAGCTTAATAAACAGATTGTTTGATATACAGCTAAGTTTCATGGACAGATAGTTAGATAAAAAGATTGTTTGATAGACCGGTTGTTTGATAGATTGATTGTTTGATAGACAGATTGTTTGATAGACAGATTGTTTGATAGAGAGATTTTTGATAAACAGATAGCTTAATAAACAGATTGTTTGATAGACTTAAATTGTTTGATAGACAGATTGTTTGATAGACAGATTGTTTGATAGACATAATGTTTGATAGACAGATAGTTTTACAGACAGCTATTTTGATAGAGAGATAGTTTGACAGACACTAGACAGATAGTTTGACAGACAGATGGTTTGATAAACATATGGTGAATCACTATTGGGGTTTTTTAAAAAAAAATTATCTCCTTCTAGCTATGGAAAACTTGGCCTAAAATTTTTCCATTTTAAACAGATCTGTAATGTCGTCTTGCATTGTATTGCAATAAGTAAAACAAAGTTTTGTTTTCTTGTGCAAAGAAACTGATTATACTCGCTACAAAGTACAAATTTTAATTATTTTAATTCCAGGATCTCTGCAATATCTTTGATATTTCAAATTTTAACTAAGTATTCATATAAGAATTCATAGCTAAAATATAAAGTGTGCGACATCACATGGATATTTTATTTAAATGAAAAGTTTAAAATTATATATTAAATATAAATTAATACAAGTTAGACACAATGAATGTTTTTACAAATTGATCATGTTTTAGTTGGCGTTTCTTGTCTTTTGTTTGGATTTTCATTGTGATGATTATAAATTACTAAAATCATATTACCTTATTGGTGTTTATCTTATGTAAAAGATATTTATCAAAATACCAAATATCAAAATTAAATTACATATAAACGAACAAAAAATCTTAAATAAAATCCATTAAGCCATAGCATTACAGTCTATTTGCTTTCGTATCAAAAGTGAGTTGAATCATCTATATTAAACAACTTTAGTTAATAGTTTTGATTATTGAAATATAGTTTATTTTTTATGATCATACAGTTAAACCCTAATACATCGAAAGAATTCATCAAATGTCGTATTCTTCACTGGAATTTTGCAGATATTTAGTTTTTAAATTAAATGATTATATGGAGCTCTTTAAAACTGTCCCCGCATATTCATGGTTATTTATTTATTTTTGCAAATACTGAGATTTACGCAAAATAGTAAAAAAAAACATTGAAAAAATGTCAAGACGATATTTTATAAATTCTTTAGATATATGGCTTATTTAGGGTTTAACTGTACAGGGTGTCCCAAAAAACATGGAAATTCAGTGACGAATTCGATATCGTCTCTTAAATAATTCTTTTAGTAGAGTGATACCTACTGAGAAAGCTGTAATTTGTAACAGTTTCGTCTGCTATGTTCACATTTTGTTTGTTTATGTTTTGACTGCACACGGATGTACTTAGTAAAACAAGAAAATTGCAGTATACAATAGAGCAAACTTGTCCGTCCTGACTGTTCATCTTGCGGAGACATTATAAACACATCTTTACAGTCTTTTACCCTTTTCATAAATTAAATTCTAGCAGACATAATAATATTATGACTTTTGAAGTTAGGTATTACAATGCTAATTCATAACAAAGACGATATTGAATTCGTCACTGAATTCCCATGTTTTTTGGGACACCCTGTATATTTTTAGATATACATAAAATGCCGAATATAAAATTATGATATAAATAATGCCAACAGAAATATGGATCAGAGAAACAGATTACTTGATTCAAATCTATATAAATCTTATAATCACTTTACCTTTGCAAACTATAAAGGAATTGAATCTAAGTCACGAACTCAAATTTTTTTAACCCTATATCTTAGCAAACTGATGGTGTAAACTTAGATTATTTGGTCTCATAGAATTCATAGTTTGAAATATCTAAGGTCTACGACATAGGGTTGAAAATTTATAAGGATTATAAAATCAAAGTTTGTGGCAAAGACTTAATTCCTTTGGACACTTAGAAAATCAGAGTTTGAATCAAGTGATCAGTATCTAATTACATAATGTATAAATATAAAATACAAGCATAAGAATAAAAAGAAAATCTAAATTTCAGTTAAAGATTCTACTTCAATAATATTTTGATTTCCTTCTACTCCTTCAACTCCTTATGCACCCTATAATTATCTTCTTCTTCTACTACGCTCATTCTCCTTTTTCTCGTTTTTATTTCTCCTCCTTCTTCTCCTTTATAACCTTTTATGCCTCCTTCTCCTTCTTTTTCTCCTTCCCTTTTCTTATCCTTTTTCTCTTTCTTTTGATCCTCCTTTTCATTCTCCTCCCCCTTCTTCTCCTTCTTCTACTTCTTCCCCCTTCTTCTTCTTCTTCTTCTTCTCCTTCTTCTCCTTCTCCTTCTCCTCCCCCTGTTGTCTATAGTTTTGTTGAATATCTTGTATTAGAGTTTACAAGGAAATCAATATTGACCTCCACATGTGACCCTGTCGATATATCCACAGCACTTGCCTAATCAACCACAAAACGTTTTAAAAAATGTGGTAACGTCTGCAGCACAATAAATTCATGTCTTGCGAATGATCATGTAAACAGAATAATGAAAAATTTACATTTGGAATCAAGAAATAATTTAGTTGCATGCTTTAAGTTTCCCCCCCCCCCCTTCTCAGATATGCTATAGATCAAGGTACTAATGCAAGGAAATTTGCGAACATATTGAAACAAGTTCTCTCTGGGCGGAATTTGTAAAAAAGAATAGATGCATCTGTGTTTGTTTAGTATCCGTGGAGGATAAAAGCATTTAACTTTGATAATTTTTAAAATTCACATATAGTTTCCTATGACCAGAATATTTCATAGATTATTTTTGTGAAAATGTATTCCATGTCAAGCTGTGGCATCCGTCTTGTGTTTACTTTTCCGCCCAAAGACAGTACACTGTAATACAAAAAATACGCACACCTCTGAAATAACTTTCCTTGCATTAGTACCTTGCTATAGATGGTACTGTTTGTACTTAAATTAGAAACATGACAGACAGTTAATTATTGCAAAGATAAATCCCTAGAACTCACAGAAAAGATAAATTACTACATTTTCCTCGATTATCGACCTCTGTCAAAAAAAAAAAAAAATCATCTTATTCTAAAATATTTTAAGTGTTTTCCTGTATCTCTGTTTCCCCAAACCTCATCTTAACCTGAAAACAAAAAGTGAGAGAAAAACAACTAATGATATTTTTATGATCTTTAATAAATAAAAATTTACTGTCCTTGTACTTACAACTTACAAGTGACCATCCATTATTCATAACAATACCCTACAAACATTTATCTAAACAATATTGTGGAAGTTACATATCATCATTTAATCTAGCCTAACAGTATTTAAGCTGATAATTTTCTCAAAATTTTCTGTGGCAGAAACGCGCAAGTTCTACTTTTTGAACAGAAATCAATTTTCTAAAAGATTTTTTTTGATGAATTATTCTTCAGACAAGGCTTATCACGGTACCGTTGTGAATCGGACACACCCCTCTTTAGAGGGAAAGTCACTGAAGTTATGTCTACCTTTAGAGTCTCATTGAGTTTTGACCCATATTGTTCTGAATGTATAGCCCTAGAAACCAGAGGACGTCCTAAGGTCGTTATGGGGACATCAATAATTACCAGTGCGACGTCCGGCGACGTCATGTTTTAGGTGTTGAGGACGTTTACGTCCTCACGACCAAACTTTCGAAGTCGAAATGACGTCACTTTGGACGTCCAAATGACCAAACTTTTGAATTCCAAATGACCAAACTTTTGACGCCCAAATGACCAAACTTTTGACGTCCAAATGACCAAAGTATTGACGTCCAAATGACTAAAGTATTGACGTCCAAATGACCAAAGTATTGACGTCCAAATGACCAAGCTAGTCATTTATTTATCCTTTAACCACTGAACAGAGCCTTAATCTTTCTATTTGTACTGCTACCCTTTAACCCTCCCCCCCTGGAATTACATTTACACCATGACTATTTTACGATCATGTATATGTTAGAGATGTCAACGATAGTGTAACGTAACGTAAAATGTACGTTTTTGTACGTTACGTTACAATAATGTGTAACGTTTGGATATATTCTATATATCGTGAACGTTAAACGTTAACGTTATAGGAGCTCATACCTAACGTTAACGTTAAACGTTAACGTTAGAGGAGTATACCCCCAACGTTAGCGTTTTGTGGAAATGTAACGTTATTTTTCTAATATCTACAACTTTTTTGACCATAACGTAAAGAAATGTTTTATTTCCAAGGGGAGCTTGAAAGTCTAACGTTTGAAAAATGAATTGTGATTTGATTGAATATCGTAACGAAAGGATTTCTATTTCAAAGTTCAACTTATAAAAAGTGTAACGTTGTATAACTGAAAAATGAATTACTGTTTATGAAAACGTTTTGAAACGTTTTCCCTTATAGTATAATGAAAAATTCAACGTTGCAGAAATGGGTTATTATTTTAATAATCAGGATACGAAAGTTTTTTTTACAGAGTAAAATTTCAATAATGTAACGTATAACATTTAAAAAAAATTAATTCTGTAAATCAAAACTTTTCATAACTTTTCTCTGAATACTAAATTGATTAGTCTAACGTTAGATATATGTCTGATGAAAATGTTGTTCATAAAACGTTAGACTATGAGGGCTTAGTTTTAATTTCAAAAGTGTAACAATAATTCTGTCAATCAAAACATTTCAAGTTTAAAGAAAATGAGTTTATGCCAAAAACTCTAATTTTCATTTAATATATCTTTGCAATCCGATGTCGTAGACCATTAATATCGTAATATACAAGGTTTAAACCATCGGGTTGGAAAGATATAGGTATTAGTAAGTTGACAAAAAAACTAAAGTGTAAACGAGTTTTTTTGTAACATGCTATTAGTGAAAATTCAAATCTTATAAATGTAACTTGGACATTGAAGGTTTTTGATTTTCTATTGTTTGATGAAACCCACTAAAATTCTGGAAAAGGAAAACGACATTAAGAAATTTTACATATGCATTTTCTGTTATAAAGCAAATGATTTACTAATAGTAAAAAAATCAACTTATTAAGTGGAATGGGTCTGTGAACAAACACAATTGCTGGGTTTCATATTTATTTGACTACTTGAAATCATAACTTCAGTTGGCATGGTTCATGTTTTAGGTTGAAAAATTTAGAAATGTAGATACTTACTAAAATGCAACAATATTTAATATTTTATCAATTGGAAAATGCAATTATGTTTTATTCATCAATAGATTTTTATGAAACTTTAGAATAGAAAAAAAAACTGATTTTTTAATTGTTTAAAAAGAAAAAAATGTTGAATAATTTTATTTCGCGTTGTGTGTGTTAAAACAAAATTTAGCACTTGTCTTACTATATTTGATTTTTTTAACCCCAAACATGAACTCTGAAAACATTTTCATTGTGGTCTGTAAACTAAAGCTAATGCCGCCTTTTTACTCACTTTGTAAGTAACATAAAAAAAAACACAAAAAGAACTAAAAATTCGCCACAAATTGTAATTTTCTAATCTCTACATCTTTGCAAGCTGGTGTTGTAGACTTTTAATATTTCAAGCTATGACTTCTGTTAGATAAGAATATCTAAAGGAATTAAGTTGTTCACAAACTTATATTTCTAATCCCTATATCTTTGCTACCCAATGTTGTAGACCTTAGATATTTTAAACTATGAATTCTGTTAGATAGAAGAAAAGGGTCAGTCTGCATTGTGTAAAAAAGAAAAAATTAGCCCTAAACTAATCTAAAATAATTTAGAACTACTGCTCCACATGCAAAAGTGGTTTGCCTTTCCGAATTTTAACTCATTTAATGAAGTGTCCCAAAACATGTCTATTTTTTAAGCTCTTCAAATACACGATGATAATTTCAAGTGATCCTCCATTAAAGAGGGCCATGCTCGATTCCCAATGATAACGTGTAAACTTTTATCTGATTGATGATTTGAAATTTAGGAGTGTTTTCCATAGGGTTGCGAATTGACAAATTAATATTGGAGATATTACCGTAAGGCCTAAAAAAAATATTAAAAAAAATAAATATGATACATCATTTTCTTGGAAATTTCATGCTGAATTCAGATTCGAAAACCATTTTAAATAAATTAAAATCTAAAGAAGTTATGGCCAAATAACGGTACTAAATTCCGGTTTTATAACTTTTTAATGTTTTTGATGAGTTTTTTAGCTCTGACTCATTCAATTTTCAATTTTTTTAAAACGCTTTTCAGATTTGAATTTAGCATTGAATTTCCAAGAAAATGATGTATAACACGAAAATAAAAAATAAAATTTTTTTTGTGGCCTTACGGTGAAAACGCAGCGACTTCCGGGTGGGCGGTTGGCTCTATTCCAATATTGATCACCCCTACTGAACATGCCACTCCATAAATGGAAGGTCACTTAAAATTACGTCTCTAGTCCCTTAAAGACATACTTTGAGTTGAAAGTCTAATATAATATTAAAACATCTTTATATTGCATAATGCATATTCTTCTACACATTCTCTAAAAAGGTTAACAATACAACAGCAACATGCAGGGTGAGTTAAAAAATGTAATTATCACGGAAAAAATCTTGCAATGCTTTCATTTAGAAACAATGTTATTTTAATAAAGTCTAACGTTAGAAACATTAAGGAATTGAACAACGCAACGTATAGAACATTGAAAATTCATTACGTAACGTTACTCTGTGCAATAAAATTTCATAATGTGCAACGTAAGGTTTTAAACGTTAATACTTTTGATGAGCACTATCGTAACGAAAGCTAAAATCTAGAAAAATCAAAACGTTGACATCTCTAGTATATGTAAGTAAAGCACGATTAACCAGTTACATAACAGAAATTCTTATTAATAGCTCTTTAATAAAAGGAATATATGGTTAAAAATATCCGATATTTTAATCTTTTAGTTTAGTTTAGTTTAAGGTAGCATACCTGAATCTCCCGTGTAGATGAATGGTCCAGGTTTGAATCTGAGTTTAAGAAGAGGGACATAGACCCACATAATTGTACTCCGGGCTCTGTTACAAACTGAAGAAGTTATGGTAATTTTTGCACTTAATGGGCAGAAATAGTTTGTGCTTCTTAGTATTTATTTAATGGTTTTGACACCATGTTGATAACATTTCTATTTGTTGGGCTTGGAGTTTTTAAGAACAGCATGTTGGACTTAAAATATTTGGTTTTAGGATTTCTATTTTTGTGAAAATAAAAAAAAACATAATTTGCATGGTGTTCAGTGTTCAACACTGTACAAAGTTTTCAACATTCAATTTTCATTTATAAAAAAAGCTTTTTTGGCTATAATCACAAAGATTGAAAGGATACCTTCGCGAATTGGACATGCCACTCTATCAATGAAATTATGTCTACTCTTCCTTTTACCTTGAGCTCTCCTAGAACCTCCTCTTCAGTTGAGAATATATGAAGCAAAATAGATTCCTGGTTTGTCAGAGCAGGTCTATAAATACGATATTAGGGACCAAATCTAATGAATTGGAGTGGTCACTGAACTACCTTCCACCGGTTCAAATCCTGAATCAGCGATTTATAGTAAATAATCATGAGTATTCAGGTAATTGTTTTAAGGGTGAATCGGTGATTCAGGATTTGAACCGGTGCGGAGTTGGTGGAATGCCCCTGGCATATTAACTTTGTACACTGTACAGTCAAGTCTATACACCGTTATTTTATCTTTCTTGTAGCCTCTGATCCCAGGGTTCAGTCACGTGACGATCAAGAACTGCAATAAATATTGCAACGGCGGTAACACCTATCTATCTACTTATCTACCTATCTATATATCATCATTCAATGAGAGATGAATCCTAAAATCAGTGCTAAACAGTAAACGGAAATGTTCACTTCTGCTGAAACAAGAGTATGTAATATACCTGTAATGCCTGACTATCTCCTCCCCCCGACCAATAGATTGACCGCAAGAAACAAAAACATCCAGAATATCCATACACCAACTCTGCCCGTTCTTGTTAATCATCTTCTCTGTATAAAATATAGTTAATAGTTTAATTACTTTTTGGAACTAATCTGGTTCCAAGTGTATCCTGATCCCTGGGTAAACTAACTTGGTTCCAAGTGTATCCTGGTCCCCGGGTAAACTAACCTGGTTCCAAGTGTATCCTGGTCCCTGGATAAACCTGGTTCCAAGCGTATCCTGGTCCCTGGGTAAACCTGGTTCCAAGTGTATCCTGGTCCCTGGGTAAACTAACCTGGTTCCAAGTGTATCCTGGTCCCTGGATAAACCTGGTTCCCAATGTATCCTGGTCCCTGGATAAACTAATCTGGTTCCAAGTGTATTCTGGTCCCTGGGTAAACCTGGTTCCAAGTGTAAGCTGGTCCCTGGGTAAACTAACCTGGTTCCAAGTGTATCCTGGTCCCTGGATAAACCTATCTAAGTATATCCTGGTCCCTGGATAAACCTGGTTTAAGTGTATCCAGGTTCCTGGATAAACTAACCTGGTTCCAAGTGTATCCTGGTCCCTGGATAAACCTGGTTCAAGTGTATCCTGGTCCCTAGATAAACCTGGTTCCCAATGTATACTGGTCCCTGGATAAACTAACCTGGTTACAAGTGTATCCTGGTCCCTGAATACACTAACCTGGTTCCATGTGCATCTTGGTCCCTGGATTAACTAACCTGGTTCCAATTGTATTCTGGTCCGTGGATAATCAAAGATGGTTCCAAATGTATCCTGGTCCCTGGATAAACTAGCCTGGTTCCAAATGTATCCTGGTCTTGGGTACACTAACCTGGTTTCAAGTTTATCTGGTCCCTGGATAAACTAACCTGGTTCCAAAAGGAAAATTTCGCAACTTTTTGCATTTCGTTTGCTTCGCACGCGAAAATGCTAAAATTTCGCGCGATAACAAATGCGAAAATTTTTGGGAAAACAAAATGCGAAAATTTTGCGAAAAAAATAAGAGATAGAAAGTTTTTTCGCGCAATTAATTGTTGCAGCAACAAAACTTTCGCATCGTTTGCGCATTTTTTTGTTTAATTAATTTTCGCGAAAAAATTTGCGATATGCGAACGAAAATTTTAGCCTTTTTTCGCGTTTTTTTCGCGAAAGTTTTCGTTCGCTGTAAAGCCTAGTCCCTGGTTAAACTGACCTGGAGGATGAATATCCGGGTTGAAAGGTTTGATAACTCCGATACCGTAGGTTAATTTAGCACGCCGAACCTGAAAATAAATTAATGAACTGGGTTTATTACAAAAAAAAACACTCTAAGAAAAACCTAGCTGTAAATCGTGAGAATAAATTTTATATAAAAAACTAAAATAACCGAAACTTTATTAGCTTATTTCTGTTTCTGTAACTACCATCATTAACACCCTGTATTTTAATTTATCTCTACATAAAAATCCCTCTGATGATCTGATCTCACCCTGCCACAGATCACCTGACTATCTCCTTCCTTCCAATCAACTCCTCACCTATCAAAAACATATCTTGATATGCGTAACCAAATATATTCCGTATCGTTAATTAACTTCGGGCCAACCACTCAAAACAACCAACCCTGGTTTGACGGGTCCAATCTGCATAGTAAATTGTGATTGCTTATTTGTAATATCTAATGCTTTGTAGTTGAATAAATATATGAATGAATGAATGAATGAATTAGTTGCATGATCCAATCCGGAACAACATGTACTGTATAAGCATTCATTTGTACCGTCCAGTCCGGACTACCCAGTGTAGAATCGACCCAAATGGTTTTGTGCATCCCTTCCCCCTAAAAACTCCTATTTTGACAAAAGTACTGATTAGTTTTTTATCTCTATTAAAGAGCCTTTCATTCTTAGGCTTTTCTTGATGTAGAACATATATTTTTTGATTATATATCAGAGGAGTAAAGAAAATGATATTTTGCCCAAAGCTCCAAAATTATAATCTCTATATCTGCGCAACCCGATGTCGAAGATCTTTGCAACTATGAACTATGAAGAAGCCTAAGTTTGAAATTTTTTTACACCATTAGGTTTCAAAGAAATAGGGATTAGAAAATAATTTGAGTTTGTGGCAAAAACTTAGTTTCTTTCTTGAGAAATCTTTCCCCAAAAAGAGAATAGAATATATATTCTATTCTCATTGTCTTTCCCCTTTCAGAAATAATTTTCCACTCAGAAATTAGATATGTTTGTTGTTATGTACATACCTTGATAACTGCAGGATCTAAACCATACTGCACTGCACCTCGAAGTACAGCCAACCCTACACCCTGTACATATATATATATACAAGACAAGTACAGTCAACCTTACACCCTGTACATATACAATACAATATATGATGTCAAGTAATTGTCACTTGTGTGTTGTGTAATCTTAAATAATGCAATATTTTAGGTTAAAGGGAGTGTTGGCGAAAAATGAAATAAGCGCTTTTGATTGCTACTAATCTTACTTCTGTTGCGTCTATAGGGAGAAAATTGTTAAAAACGACTCACACCGAAGAACGTAGTGTCCATACAAATTCAGAAATCCGTAAACAAATTAATTAAATTCCAAACAAATCATTCAGAGATGACAAATAATAGTCATCGATTATTTTTCGACGCATTCGCATAAAGTTGATATTTTAAAATATTTTTTATTTTTCATGATCTGAGAGTGAGCATTTATTCCTGCTTCGAGGATTTTTGATAATGAAACGACATTTTCATATTTTCCAGGAATGTTCGAAAATCCAGCGCCAGTGAAATATTATTTTAAAAAAACAAAATCAAAACTATTATGAAATATTAACTATATACGAATGCGTCGAAAAACTTATCGATGGCTATTGTTAGTAATATTTGAATAATTTGTTTGGAATTAAATTGAATATTTTACGATCCGAGTTGAATGTTGCAACTTTACAAATTTGTATGGACGGTACGTTCTTTGGTGTGAGTAGTTTTTAACAATTTTCTTTCTATAGACGCAACATATAGAAGTGAGATTAGTAGCGATAAAAGTGCTTATTTTTCCCCGTAAACATATACCCCCTTTCATTTTTCGCGAACACTCCCTTTAAGCGAAGCTATAAATCAGTTAGAACCTGGATGGGTGACACCCCCTCCCGATATTTTAACAGTTCTCAAGATTTAAGAAGATTGAACACTCTGTATTAAACTCAAGAGAATTGGAATCTTCAAATATCTTATTTTAAAAGTATTTTTTCAAGAAAATCATGTGAAATTAAAATTTCATATGATGAAAAAAAAAATAACATTAGTAATGATAAAATCTTGATCATAATGATAATAATGATGATTTATTATGTATCAATAATAATTATGATTATGATAATGATAAAAATCATATAAATAATAGTAATGATAATAATAAAAATAAGAATGTTAATAAAAGTTGTAAAAATAATAATAATAATAATAATAATAATAATAATAAAAATAATAATTTTACCTGAGGAATAATAACCTTCAGCCTACCCCTGTTAAATACCAAGGTTAAATTTTGGTTAAATGTAAGGAAAGGGAAATTATATGCAAAAGTAGTTGCTGAGGCTACTGGAGACTAAGCAGGAGGAGAAAAAACGAACCTTTTGTGATTACAATCAAATAAATACATCGAGTTAAGAGACGTCATTGATCTTTAGAATAATGTCAGGCATTAATTGAATTCAACCACTTTTACATTATACTTGAAAAGATAATCAAGAAATAAAAAGAAGATTACTAGAATTTTCAGAATGTGGTCTGCCTGTTGGAACGTTTTTAAAATTACCAGAGATTATTGAAAGAACACAAAAGCAGACCAAAATTTAACAAGACCAGGTCAAGGATTGGATTAACGAATAAATGCAACAAATATTATAAAGATTAAAGGGGCTGACAGCGTCATTTCAAGTAACCTTTTATTTAAAGAGTTACATCCCCATGAATTTATTTTTCAAAAGTAAAATTTCGTCATCTGATGATCTGGGTTGATTTCCCACGACTTTTTTAACAGCATTTAAGAGAAATATGCACAGATTGCTCTGTTCTTGCTGATAAGTCAAGGTCTAAAGGGTACCGTTGTGAATTTGGAATGACCCTCTTAGATTTGTAGGTCTCTTAAAACTAAGCTTACAGTCCCTTTAAAGAGGAAGTTTATGTTGTCTAACAACTAACATGGTTCGTATCGTGGGACACCCTGTATCTATAAACAAAATGGCCGAGAGAATTCATGACAAATTTGGTAAAGTTCCTGAATGCGTGTCTTATCTCCTCCTGGAGCAGTGAACTCTCAGCAAACCCTCCGACCAGGAATAGATGGGTCAACCCGCGCACATCAGGCTCATTCAGTACAGACAGAATATGCTAAATCAAAACTCCAATCAGAAGAAGTAGTTGAACTATGCAGAATAAATTCAAACACATCTCTTCACCTTGATCCAGTGCACAAGATAACTGATTGAACCGGCAGTTGGTACAGGGTTGCCCACAAAGGATGAGAATGTAAAGACGACTTTAAAAATATGGAGATCCCAAGTTTAAATTAAGTCATTTAGTCTTTTAATATCTTGTTTTATGATTTAGCAAAGAAAGAAAATGTTTACAGTTGCAGGGAGACCTGAATATTAGGAAATAGACGACAGCAAAAATTCCGCACAATCGTCTCTGTAGTCTCATCTTTTGTGGGTAACCAGCTGTCTTGTTAAACTACTACTTGCTGATCCGACGTTTAAGTAAGAAACATCGCTAAGGATATTGTTACTTCTTTTAAATATCGACCCTATCTAGAGCTGGGCACAATCCGACATTTATTAACGACATCAACGGAAGATATTTTGGAAATAGTTAGAAATGGCGGGGAAAATTTAAAGACGACATTAAAAAACATCAAAATACATAAAATTCTACAATTCAACAAATGAGGAAAAATCAGAAGACAGCGTTTCAAAACATCAAACACATCAAATGTTTGTTGTTGTTTCAAGTTTAATGCAATTTAAAGCAGAAAAAAGAACAAAAGTCACTGCTATTTTAAACCACATCCGTTTCTATCAATACAATATTTGATTTCTACTATCTAAGCTATCAATTATTAGTTTCACTTTGTATAATGTAACTTGTAAACTGAAAAAGCTTCTGCGAAATCTAATTTTAAAAAGCAAAACTGTCTTCCGTGTATTGATATAAACACCGACCAATGTACGTACTAAACTATTTATGCCAACCTCCTTTATATTGGTAAGAGTAGGTTTAAAAAACTGTTTCATAAGCTCTGTTTCAATTCGAATCATTCCTTCACTTGACCACTTGATATCTCGACACCCAAACTTATTCACTGCTTGACCAATCTAGATAGAAAAAGTCAACTATTTTTAAATTGAGAATGGCAACTTTAATTATCACGATTTTATGTAAATATACATTATAGAATTAAATATAAAATAAAGATTTAAATTAAATATGAGTTGACTATTTTAATAAAATATAAAATGAGGATTTAATGAGAAGCTAGGGAAATAGACTTCTAAGTTTGTTTCATCTTTAGAAGAAATCCTTGCATCGGGAAGCTTTTATATATAAACGCTCTATAAAGATATGTCCGGGGGTTTCTTTGTTGAAAATAACTGAAAGTGACTGTATACGTATTTTTAAGTGTTTCTTCATTTGCAGAGAGGTGTGTCCGATTCAAATCGCAACCCAATTAAAAGCTTTGCATCATAAATTAATTAAAATAACCTAAAGAAACTAGATGTCGTCTTTTCAAGATTTGGATGCAACTCGTTTACAATAACCCTGAGGCGGCAGCCCATAGTTGTTTCGCGCAGTCGGCGAAGAATAGGCTATCTCTGTCTTGTCATTCTACGCCAAGACTGCGCGAAACTCTATCTGTTATTTTAATTAACCTATGCATTGCATAATCAGGCATAAGTGAGAACTCCATCATCTTCTCTATAAAAGTTTACTATCTCAAAGTTTCTCGGAAAACGACGATATCATTCAGGCAAAGTATTCATGGGTACAGTTGAGGATCAGGCATGATTCGGCCATATCTCTCTTTAAACAGAAGGTTATTAAAGATTACAAGGCACGGGCAGCCGTAGTACATTTGAATTTCCGAGCCGTGTCAACCTTTCCGGTCCCAGTTTGTACTGTATCGCCCGGACATTGGGTGCATAAAGCAGACACTTAATGGGACTAGCCGGTGCAACAAGGTTGACGCGGTCAGACTTTAGGTTTTATTTACTTTTACTTACGGGTCAGAGGTGCGTGAATGACAGTCTCATTCTCGGATTTAATTTACAACTGTAGAGCTTGATTATGGGTAGGGTTTCCAGCGAACGAAAACTTTCGCGAAAAAATAAGAAATTTCAGGAAAATGAACTTTGCGAAAGGAAGCTAAAACGATGCGGAATTTCGTGAAAAAACATCTGCAGCAATTTTGCAAAAAAAATTTGCTATTTTCGCATTAACCTGTTTAGCGAAAAATGTAAAATTTTCGCAGTTTCTGTTTTTTTTCGCAAAACAGATTAATGCGAAATTTTACGAAAAAAGCGAACATTTTCGCATTTATTTCTACAACTGGAATGCTCAAAAATAAACCCTAATTATGGATAATAAATAGTTTTTATAAACTCACGTCTGTATCATGGGTTTTCCGATATAGATCAATGAAGGAGAATGGTAGGGCAACACTGAGAGGGGTCAGCTTAAAGGGACTGGCACATCTTTTCCTGAATTATATAAACAAATACAAAACTAATGGAATAAAGGGACTGTTCGCATGATTTAAATACAGTTCCATTTAAAAAGTGGAGCATTTACGATTTACAACGGTATGCTTTCGTTGCTTTCTCAAATCTCTAAAATTGACTTGAGGTTTTAGAACTTATTTTACGGAAATCGATACATGAATTCAAGATGGAAAACTAGGATATCTTTCGCATCATTGATCAGATAAAGGGTTAAAGGGTTAAATTGTTGTGAATTGGACTGCTTCTCTATTTTAAAATAAAATTACAATGACAGTCCCCTACATAACAAAGCTTCTTATTTTAATTCGTGAACACTGTACAAAATGCAACGAAGTCCTATTAGTTATAAAATGTTAACCAAAATTGAAAGCACTTCCAACTGCTGATAATGAATTAACAAAATATTATCCCTCACCTGGATTCGAATGCTATCATGAGGTCAATATACCCTGCTGGACGTTTTTTCCTGCAGAAAATTATCATTATTATTATTAATATTACTATTATTATTATTATTATAATCATTTTACCTAAATTCCTGTATAAACTCTGCTCCGAACATGCTAGAAAGAAGGTTTTCAAATGCCAAGTCAACACCTGAACGAATTGACCCAAAATTATTTACTATTTGCATCATAAAGTGTTTGTTCACCGTTTTCAAAATACTCATATTACTCCAGTTTTGGAAATAAGATTAAAGGAAGGCAATATGTGTGAAATTTGACATTAGTGCTTTTTATTTACGAAAATCTTTATTTGACATTATTGTTTGTTAAGAGATCTATAATAAAATTCAACTCATGTACATTTGAATCTGTGTTGAACCAACCTTTACGGTCAGCTAGTTTTACTGCCCCGCCCTGTACACCGACTACATTAGCAGACATACGGCAGGGGTCAATAGCAGGGGCAAAGCAATTTCCCCCAAATAACTTTAAAAATAAAAAATATACACTTACTGACTGATCCATAAGGCCCCCCAGTTGCTTTAAACACTTCTCTAAGCTGTTGTCCGTCAGTGGATATCTCATGTACAGTAATATCCACTGTACCCCCTCCACAGTCCACTACCATGTACGAACCTCCTATAATCAAAAAATGAAATGAAAATATTAAACAATAGGTGGGGGGGGGGGGTGTTTTCCACCCCTTTGTGGTTTGTTATAAATAACTTAAAAATGGCCGACATTAGAACGCTAAAACTTCTTCGCTTTTTTAACTTCATAGATGTGATAAAATTTTGCCATTTTTTATATGCATTGGGTAGGGTAGAGGCAAAGAGAATAGAATATATAATAGAGTGGAATTTACTAGAAAAAAGTGTAAAACGGCCATTTTGTTGTATTGTTTCCATACTGCAGGCGTAATTCACATATTTGCGCTATATAACCTTTTGGGCCCTGGAACATAATTTTATAGAAAATCTAAAATTGATGTTAAAAGAAAACCAAATTATGAAATAGGCTGGTTTCATAATTGACCAATGATCATTTAACATATACTCTATGCCTTTCACCTTACAAATGATGATTTTCCGTTATTACTATAAATCAAATGATGTTTTTTATTAACCTAATTCATTTTATAAAGTTTTTTTAACAGTTTTAAAAAATTCGAAATCGAAATGGATAGTCTAGGGAACATACTGTATTAATGTACTCTACTGCATATAATTTGTGAACATTTACATGTTTTGTACACTTTGAACCCCCTAAAAGGGACTGACACAATTCATACCGAGGGGTTGTTTAAATTCCACTCTAATATATATTCTATTCTCTTTGGGTAGAGGACAGAAATCGGAAATTGTCAATAGCTAGCTGATGGAGGGATAAAGTTTATATATTTGAAAAGCCCTTGAATGTAATAACATGTGTAACATGTTAATATTTATCGAAAGTAAAAATATTTATTTTTGAACATTTTTCCGATGTACTTTTTGAACATTTTTTTAAAGTCTCACTTGCTCCCTAACCATTAAAGATAGAGGTCTATTTTTTTGTAATGAGCAGGCCTTGAAAAGTTGGACTCAAGACAAGTATCACTTTCCTCTATCTCAACTCCAAGGGCAAAATCATAGGAAACCGCCCCCCACAATCTATCTTGGGGGGTGGAACCCCCCCCCCCATCTATATTAGACAAAATTGTCCAATAGTGTAAAGAAAAGGGAATAAAATTAGTAACTAAAAAACAGTGATGTGGTGTAAGTTTAAAAATACGAAGTTTGGCACTTGCAGACGCGGTATAAGGAGAGGAGGGTGGGGGGTTGATATTCGATTGCCTTTGTAAATAAAATGAAAAATTGGACATCAACTGACATCCACTCTACTTGATACTTTTTACCCACAATTTTTTTTATTTTCCCCATTTCAGCAAAAACATGTTTGACTTAAAAGGAGTGACCGGCTATGTAAGGTAGTTGAACTGAGTATGCAGTATTGTGGAAAGCTTCTTTCGGATTCATTTGAGACATATTACACTTTTTAAAGATCTGTAAATCCTGAGTTTGAGCGCAAATTTGACGTTCAAAACTCCTACTTTGGGGGTGGATACATTTTCAGAATCGGTTTTTCTAAATCACTAAATAATGACGACGAGAAATAAAGTAAAAATCATACGGTAATCTAATTAGATGGTTTGGAACATATTTCTCAAAAGAAATTTGTTAATAAATCAATGCTAGAATAAATTATTACGTTTTCATCATTATGTTGAATTTCTTATTTTCCTTGAATTTATTCGCAGGTTTCTTAAAATTCTACAGATGTCGTCTTTTCAATAATATTCCAAAAAGAATAAGAAAAAGAAAAAGAAAATGTTTGTGAATAATGAGAAAATAGAAACTAATAATTGAACAAGATAACTTATTTTCGATGACAAGATTAATTTTTATTTTCTCAACTGGTTCCGAAACAACTAATTAGTTTACTGTAGAGTTTTGTTTACATTTTTTGTTGTCGTTATTTGATAATTAAAAAAAAATAATGCTGAAAACGTATCCACCCCCAAAGTAGGAGTTTTGAACGTCGAATTTGTGCTCAAACTCAGGATTTACAGATCTTTAAAAATTTTAATATGTCTCAAATGAATCCGGAAGAAGTTTTCCACAACACTGCATACTCAGTTCAACTACCTTACATAGCCGGTCACTCCCTTTAAAAACAAAGTTTAAAGGAGGGAAGGGGAGATGATTTTCAAGAATAATTCAGATTTAAAAATCTGAAAATATTTTATTGTTATTTTTTATTCCTAATTTGCAAACTGCTTGCAGAAAGATTAGCAAAAAAGCTTGGATTATTACTATAAAGGAACCTAGTAATATTATAAAAAATATATAAGCTGTTTACAGTACAGACTAAAACAAAAATAAGAAACTAAGAAACAGCATAAATGTTAAATTCTAAAGAAAAGAGAAAAAGTTTGTTGAGTTTTCACAACTTTCCCTCTATAAATTATTAAAATGCTTAAAGAAGAAAAAGAAGAAAAATATTGTCATAAAACTGAAACAAAACAGTTTCATTTCATTTTTTTTACTTCTTAGAATCCGTCTTAGCTTACCTTGTGGAAATAGCTCTTCTGAAGTGAGTTGGGGGGTTAGTTGGTTAGTAGGTAAAGTAAACTCTTTTTCTAAACCATTGTTAAATAGTTAGTTAGCTCTTTTTCTAAACCATTGTTAAATAGTTAGTAAACTCTTTTTCTAAACCATTGATAAATAGTTAGTAAGTTCTATATATAAACCTTAGTAAAATGGTTAGTTAGCTCTATATATAAACCTTTGTAAAATGGTTAGTTAGTCTTATATTCAAATAGTTTTTTACCTAATTCACAACGGTACCCTTTTCTAATAAAAACGAGATATATTTTGTCTTTTCTTCTATTCAGTTAGAATAACGATAAGCTCTTGGAGTTTCCTTCATTGCCTCTGTTGCTTAATCTGCATATCACTTTCACAGTGAATCCGCAATTTAAAATTTAAAATTATCAATTTTTGAAAAAAAAGTAACAAGAATAATTCAATTTTTAATAAACAATGGTTTAAAGGGTATCGATGGAACTTACTTAAAATTACGTTGACAGTTCCTTTAAAATGATGTAATGTTTGAAAGGCTTGAACAAAATGATGGAGTGTCTGACCTGTTTCAGAATCTTCTAGTACATAGTCCTCTGACCCCTCCTCAGTTGATTCCTAGATTCAAATATTTTGTCAACATTCGGTTTGACGTTAAAATACATGATTCTTTTCTATTTCCTCTTTAAACTCAAATTTCCCCATAATTTATTCGACTTAAATTAGGTTGGATAGGGTGAGAGGGGGGGGGGGATTAACATCATCGTCCCAAGTAAATGATTGGTACTGCAGGTATTCAGGTAAGTGAATGCAGGAGGATGGAGCAACCCATCTTTGGGACTATATTTTACTAGTATATCCATCTTCATTTGGGATTACTGACATCCCACCGACCATGAAGGGTTTCAACCCTGGATTACTCTCTGACATCCCACCGACCATGGGGGTTTTCAATCCGGGATTACCCCCTGACATCCCACCGACCATGGGGCTTTCAATCCGGGATTACTCCCTGCCATCCCACCAACCACAGGGTTTTCAATCTGGGATTACTCCCTGACATCCCACCGACCGTGTGTGTTTTCAATCCGGGATTACTTCCTGACATCCCACCGACCATGGGGGTTTTCGATACGGAATTTCTCCCTGATATCCGACCGACCACGGGGGGTTTTCAACCCTGGATTACTCCCTGACATCCCACCGACCACAGGGTTTTCAATCCGGGACTACTCCCTGACATCCCACCGACCATGTGGGTTTTCAACCCGGGATTACCCCCTGACATCCCACCGACCATAGGGGTTTTCAATCCGGGATTACTCCCTGACATCCCACAGACCATGGGGGTTTTCAATCCGGGATTACTCCCTGACATCCCACCGACCATGGGGGTTTTCAATCCGGGATTACTCCCTGCCATCCCAACGACCACAGGGTTTTCAATCCGGGATTACTCCCTGACATCCCACCGACCATGTGGGTTTTCAATCCGGGATTACTCCCTGACATCCCACCGACCAATGGTTGTTTTCAATCCGAAATTACTCCCTGACATCCCTCCGACCATGGAGGTTTTCAATCCGGGATTACTCCCTGACATCCCACCGACCATGGGAGTTTTCAATCCGGGATTACTCCCTGATATCCGACCGCCCACGGGGGGTTTTCAACCCTGGATTACTCTCTGACATCCCACCGAACACAGGTTTTTCAATCCGGGATTACTCCCTGACATCCCACCCACCATGAGGGTTTTCAAGCCGGGATTACCCCCTGACATCCCACCGACCATAGGGGTTTTCAATCCGGGATTACTCCCTGACATCCCACCGAACACAGGGTTTTCAGTCCGGGATTACTCCCTGACATCCCACCGACCATAGGGGTTTTCAATCCGGGATTACTCCCTGACATCCCACCGACCATTCTGCCTGAAATATATACACTTGTTGTACTTCCTATCCCTGCCTGAAATATATACACTTGTTGAACTGCCTATTTTTGCCTAAAAATACATACACTTGTTGTAATCCTATTCCTGCCTGAAATATATACACTTGTTGTACATCCTATTCCTGCCTGAAATATATACACTTGTAAATCCTATTCCTGCCTGAAATATATACACTTGCTGTACATCCTATCCTTGCCTAAAATAAATATACTTGTTGTACATCCTATTCCTGTCTAAATATATATACTTGTTGCAAATCCTATTATTGCCTAAATATACATATACTTGTTGCACATCCTATTCATGCCTAAAATATATATATATATATGTTGCACATCCTATTCCTGCCTGAAATATATTTACTTGTTGTACACCCTATTCCTGCCTAAAAATACATACACATGTTATACATCTTATTCCTGCCTAAAATATATACACATGTTGTACTTCCTTTTCCTGTCTGAAATAAATATACTTGCTGTACATCCTATTATTGCCTAAAAATTAAAACACTTGTTGCACTTCCTATCCCATCCTAAAATATATATACTTGTTGCACATCCTATTCCTGCCTAAATATATACACTTGTTGCAAATCCTATTCCTGCCTAAAATATATATACTTGTTGTACATACTATTGTTGCCTAAAATATATATACTTGCTGCACATACTATTCGTGCCTAAAATATATATACTTGTTGCACATCCTATTCCTGTCTAAATATATATATACTTGTTGCACATCCTATTCGTGCCTAAAAATATATATACTTGTTGTACATCCTATTCCTGTCTAAATATATACTTGTTGCAAATCCTATTTTTGCCTAAATATGCATATACTTGTTGCACATCCAATTCATGCCTAAAATATATATACTTGTTTCACATTCAATTCCTGTCTAAGATATATATACTTGTTGTACATCCTATTCCTGTCTAAATATACATACTTGTTGCACATCCTATTCATGCCTAAAATATATATAATTGTTTCACATTCAATTCCTGTCTAAGATATATATACTTGTTGCACATCCTATTCCTGCTTAAAAATATATACACATGTTGTACACCCTATTCCTACCTTAAATATATATACTTGTTGCACATATCCTATTCCTGCCTAATATATATACTTGTTGTACATCATATTCCTGTCTAAGATATATCTACTTTTTGTACATCCTATTCCTGTCTGAAATATTTATTCAAACCTGTTGTACATCCTATTAATGCCTAAAATATGTAGACTTGTTGTACATCCTATAGTGGAGGGGCTAGTGCAGGGGGAGGGGCTAGTGGAGAGGGAGGGGCTAGTGGAGAGGGAGAGGCTAGTGGAGAGGGA